GAACCCCCTGGACCGATTTGCTCGACCCCACAAAGCAAGCTTGCTCTTCCACAGACAGATCATATCGAAAGTTGTGGCCCGTTTGCAAGCAATACCCTCCAGTTGCTTGCTTAGACGCATCGGTGAACACGGATAGTGCAGGCGGGCGTTCCAAAATATTGTACATGGGTGCACACAAACTTCCGCCGCGCAACGAGAGACCACGCCTGTGGAACCACCGCCAAAATTCGAGGTCATCGTGGAATAATGGACCCAGCACTACACGTCTGTTCGGGTTTGGCACTTGGGACGCGAAAGTAGACGAAGCGGGCATCCCGACCGCGGATAAAAGGCGCCCCACAAAGAACTTTCCTGGCCGCAACACGAACGAAACGTGCATAAGAAACCCTGTCAACTCGGCTACTTGACGAGCTGTAGCGACTTTCCGCGTCGCGGGCCACGAAACCAATATGCGTCCCAGTTTCTGCTGTTTCGTGTCGGTCATAGTAATCGTGAGTTGCTGAGTGTCCAATGTCCAACCCAACACATCCAAACGAGTAGCGAAATCTGTGATCTTTCCTTGCGACAACAACGGCGGGTCTGCTGGGCCTCTCTCTCCCAGCAGACGAAAGTGATCCGTAGCGAGAGAACGCACCGCGCGCAAACATCGGCGGCCATCAGCGAAAAATCTCCCTTCAATCAACACGCCATCATCAACGTAGTATCGCACGAAAAACGGAGAACCAGCAAACGCCCCGTCGCCCACAATAGTCTGGCAATCAACAGGTAACGGCACCGCTGTACTTTCGTCTGGTGGGGACACTACTTGAACATGCTGCACAGCCGCAGCACCGGCGGGAGAGACGGACGCGTCTTGAAATGTAGTGTGTGTGTGTGAGTGTTCCAACGCGGACGAGAACAAGGACCAAAACCCTGGGCTCGACCGCCATCCAAATTGACACCGTAGGTCAACAACCGCGTGATCGCCGATCGTGTACCCAAAAACCGATGCCCGAGACGGATCCACCGGGATTTGTCGGAAGGCTTCTTTCACATCAATGCGGCAGATGAGAATTTCCAACGACACGCCGTGTACTTGTCGCAAATACAGCACCCGTTTCAGAATATCACTCAAAACATGACCCAAGAGGCATTCGGGTGCTTGATCAAAGTCTGTATCGTGATTTACGCTGGTACGGATGGGCACGCCGGAGGTGAACGTGAGATCGTGAATTATTCTGAACTTCGGTTTGTCGATGACGCCCAACGGCGACACTCTAACACCTAAGATTTCTCGGATAAACCGAACATCGAAAACCAACGCACGCCCCAAGATCACGTCCGATACCACTTTGTCTGTGATCCGATCTCTGTGCAGTAACGCGCTAGGATGGTTGCCGTACGCCACTTCAGCGTCCAGGTTCCCACCTAAGCCCACGTCAACCGGCGCACCCGGAGACAACGATCTCAGAAGTTGACTTACTCGGGGAAACTTTTTCGCGTCACCAAAATGCGCCTTGACACGCATCACATCGACATGGGGCAGAAAGAACTTCTGGCCAACAGCGGCGACGAACCTTTCCACGCGTCCCCCACACCGTCGAAGCAAGTTTGAACCCACATGCGCCACATGGTTAAGATGGACGTACCGTTCTGCAGCTTCACACGCAGCCAACGCAGATACGGCCACCCGCCACTCTTCAACCTCACGCGGCGAAACCTGTTCAAAACTTTGCCTCGTACCTGACTCCAAGTCGGAAGCCACTCCGGGCAAGCCCTCCCAGCGCTCGCCTCGGATCCCCACGCCAGCCAAGGCCCGGGACGCCATCTCCCTATGACCTGGCTGCTGTTGCGGCCTCTCAGCTGGAACCGACACTGGAGTTGGCCCCGCCACCCGGCGGAGCCCGCACCCCTATTTGCTGCCACCCCGCACCGCCAAGGCCGACGACGAGCCACCACCGTCGCCACCGTCAGCCTGTCCTCCTCTCCGGGCGACGCCGCCCCCCTGACCACCAGCCGACGAGCGCCCCCCCCCACCGCGACTCCCGCCCCCCCCACTGCCACTTCCGGTGCTTGACGAATCTCGGCGCTTCACGTGCTCAAACCTGCATTTGTCGCCGAAAGAGCACGTGCCAGAGTCGCGGAACTGGAAGCACTCCCTTGTGACACGCTTCCGTGACGATGAATCACCCCGATCCAGTTGGCCCGCCTTACGCTTGCCGCTCCCGCCCCGCGACTCTCCTGTTCCGGGGAGGGATCCTCCGTCACTCAGGACCAGCCGGAATAGATTGACCCCCCGTTCACAGAAGTTATTGATGTTGGGGAACTCGGGCACCGGCGGCAAGGTGTGTCCGTCGAACGCGTCCGGCGGATAATGCATTTTCGTGAAGGGGTACATCCAGGTGATGATCGCCGTTGTCCACAATTTGAAGTCCTCGTTCGGTAACCTTGGCAGTGCCGCCCGCTGGTACTCGTCCGGAAACACATCATTATTCCGCACGAGAGTAGTCCGAAACCTGGAGCGTGCGTCCGCCATGGCTGTGGCTATGGGTTCCAACCGCCGCAGCGATTGCACACCCGCGGTCGTGGACGAATCTAGACCAAACTTCAACAGCCGCATCACTGCCTCACACATCACGTCGAAGTTGTCTGCAATAGACGACGTACGGGCGACCCCCACGGGCCGGAAGCTCTTGACGTCGAAAGACGAAAACGCACGCATCTGGGCGAGGACGTCGCCCGTGACGTGAACGATATCGCTCATCAATCCCTGCAGGTCCTCTTTCTGTGGCCCGGGCTCCGGCCCCCGCTGCCCCCGAAGTACCCAGAGTGTCTGATTGTATTTGGCCTGCCAAATGGTGGCCTCCCTCCTCGCCTCCTCTTTGGCGTTGGACCTCGCGGGCACACTCGCCCCCCCGCCCGCGCCCCCGCCCCACGGCGACGACGCCGGCACCAGACCGAGGCCTCCCGAGCCCCCGGGCCCACGACTCCCATCCTGCCCCGACTCCGGCCGGAGGTTCTTCAGCAACCCAGCGATCTCGGTAAGCTGCGCCACAATGTTCGTCTGGCCTTGTTCCAGACGAGCGATTTTTTCCGCATTCTCAGACGCGAGCGTGGTGCCCTCGCTGGGCTCTCCCCCCGCCGCAGCACCCACCGACATATGGGCCAAACGAGACATGACGTGGGCCTGGACTTGGTCATCCGCACGCCCGAGCTCCGGCTGGCGGTCCCCGCTGGAAGCCAAGGCCCGAGCATGACTTTGCGTCGGAAACCCACTGCTCTCGGCAACACCAACATCTGCGGATGATTGCGTTGTTGAAGCCACGTCACCTGCTGGTGAATCCACGCCATCGGCAGCAGCCCTCGCGGCCGCCGCAATAGCGCCCGCCACAACCTGAGACGGAGGAAATGAACCCCCTCCCGTCCCCAACGCCGACTCGACCTGACCGCCAGTAGATCCTTCACTGCGGACGACACCAAGGCGCTCTTCCGTCTCCGGCGACTTGTGCTCGGATGACATGGCCCAAATTTGATGCAACCGAGAGCCCCCAAGATTCAAACCTCCCGTTCCAACCGATATGTGAATGCCCCCAGCAGCCCGCGCCAAGTAGATCTCCTCCAAAGAAATAGATCTCCTCCGAAATACCTCTTGGCTGCAGCAGCCTCCCTCGTGCTTCCTTGGGGCAGACCAACAAGTGCTCCCAAGTCTACTCTTCTGGTCAGGTTTCAGACACTTCACGCTGACTCCATGCTGCTGCACTCTGATTGGCCAACAGATATTTCATCTTCCGCTCCTCACAAAACTCAGATTTCAACGCCTCTGTCTCTGCAATCTTCTGCTTTGTTCGTTGCTTTCGAAATTGCATTAATTGGTCGTACCCCCCCACGCTTGAACAGGGGGGGGAGAGAAGAGCGGAACTCGGGGATCTCAACCTATCCCCGTCCACAACACCATCAGTATAAACCAGTCACCGCACCATCAGGCATACTCTCAAAGTCATGCCTGCCCCCAACCTAACTGCGGACTGGTTTCCATACTGATCTGTACTCTCTCTCCCCCCCTACCGTGGTTCCCACTCTTGTACCGACCAATAAACCCTGATCGCATTCACTCCCCCCTCCTTTTACGGCTCGCCCTCACCAGCCTCGGGGACTACGTCACCCCACTCTGTACCCTGTCCTGGTTGCCTCTCTGAATCACCCTCCGACGCCAAGGTACTAGAAACCCACTCTGCATCTTTCCCATGGTTCCTTACGTACGGCCGATACCCCGATTCCCCAGTCCATCTCCCCTCTCGTCTCAGAACTTCTGGCGACGCTCCCCCCGCTGCCAAGTACGTGGCGCCCCCAATCCGAAGGGAGTGCAACGCGTACTCGGACGACGGCAGACCCGCCAACGACACGACTTGCCGCAGCGCTTCCGTCGCGTGACGACGAGTCCACACGGACCATCGCCCCTCCCCGGTTCCGAACGCGACTAACGGAGCAGACGAAGGGAGAACAGGGAAGCATGAAAGGAGTTCAATCATCACATCGACTGCACCCCCCCCACACTCCACAGACTGGGGAGGCCCCGGCCTCGCCCGCGTACACACGGCGCCCTTCCGAAACTGGTCGCCTTTGGACGACCGAAACCGCACCTCGACTCTGTCGGCCTCTCCCCTCCGTTCCGGAGGCAACTGGCGAGAACCCAAAAAAAACGCCACGTCCCCCCGACGCAACCCATGACAAGAATCCATGGCCAACGAGGACACAGCGAACATTTCGCATGCCCGCATCAAGAAAAAAAATGACGCACTCAACGCCAGAAACAACACGCGCCCACCCGTGCCCCACTGTGGCACCAGACGCCCCCCTTCCTTCAGCATCGACCACGACACCGGACGTCGCACCCGTTGCTGTGCACCAACACCCGCATGCCCTCGCGCCACCCCTTTGAGCGCTTGCTTGATCAAAGAATGACATGTATCAACTTCCATCGCATACGCCAAACGATGAAAAAATTTAACAGCAGACAAATGACCAGCTATCGTCGTCTGCCTCAAGCCCAGCACCGTGAACGCGTATGCCACGTACTCCAACAATTGCGAAACACTATCCGGCGATGGAGACGACGGCATCATAAACGTCGGTCTCCCCACAACGTCCTCTCGAAACTTCACCCACGCTCCAAAAAATCCCAGGTAAGTTCGTTCAGACGATGGCGCAAGTGCGTGCCGGACGAGCTCGAAGCCAGCACGGTGGAGCACAACTCGCGCTCCTTCGGGCCTAACTCCACGATCTGCCAGGCCACATGAGGGGAGGCAGAGCACAGGTTATCGTGAACGTCGTTAGTATTCCAACGGGAGATACCATCCGCAAGCGAGTTAAGTATGCCGGGAACATGGGTCGCGTGGAAATGCCACCCGCTGGCTACCTCCAGCGCCCCCAGTAGGCGCACCAGCGCCCCCGATCGAGGCTCAAGGCCCCCCCGACAACGCTCAATCCACGTCGTCGCTGCTTCATTGTCTCCTCGAAGGCGCACACAATCACCCGCCTCCACAGGCTGGTGACTTCGGCCCAATACCAACATCCATGCCCCCATGACCATGCCAAGGAGCTCTAACACGTTGATGCTGACATCATGAACCCCCTGGACCGATTTGCTCGACCCCACAAAGCAAGCTTGCTCTTTCACAGACAGATCGTATCGAAAGTAGTGGCCCGTTTGCAAACAATACCCTCCAATTGCTTGCTTAGACGCATCGGTGAACACGGATAGTGCAGGCGGGCGTTCCAAAATATTGTACATGGGTGCACACAAACTTCCGCCGCGCAACGAGAGACCACGCCTGTGGAACCACCGCCAAAATTCGAGGTCATCGTGGAATAATGGACCCAGCACTACACGTCTGTTCGGGTTTGGCACTTGGGACGCGAAAGTAGACGAAGCGGGCATCCCGACCGCGGATAAAAGGCGCCCCACAAAGAACTTTCCTGGCCGCAACACGAACGAAACGTGCATAAGAAACCCTGTCAACTCGGCTACTTGACGAGCTGTAGCGACTTTCCGCGTCGCGGGCCACGCAGCCAATATGCGTCCCAGTTTCTGCTGTTTCGTGTCGGTCATAGTAATCGTGAGTTGCTGAGTGTCCAATGTCCAACCCAACACATCCAAACGAGTAGCGAAATCTGTGATCTTTCCTTGCGACAACAACGGCGGGTCTGCTGGGCCTCTCTCTCCCGGCAGACGAAAGTGATCCGTAGCGAGAGAACGCGCCGCGCGCAAACATCGGCGGCCATCAGCGAAAAATCTCCCTTCAATCAACACGCCATCATCAACGTAGTATCGCACGAAAAACGGAGAACCAGCAAACGCCCCGTCGCCCACAATAGTCTGGCAATCAACAGGTAACGGCACCGCTGTACTTTCGTCTGGTGGGGACACTACTTGAACATGCTGCACAGCTGCCGCACCGGCGGGAGAGATGGACGCGTCTTGAAATGTAGTGTGTTTGTGTGAGTGTTCCAACGCGGACGAGAACAAGGACCAAAACCCTGGGCTCGACCGCCATCCAAATTGACACCGTAGGTCAACAACCGCGTGATCGCCGATAGTGTACCCAAAAACCGATGCCCGAGACGGATCCACCGGGATTTGTCGGAAGGCTTCTTTCACATCAATGCGGCAGATGAGAATTTCCATCGACACGCCGTGTACTTGTCGCAAATAAATCACCCGTTTCAGAATACCACTCAAAACATGACCCAAGAGGTATTCGGGTGCTTGATCAAAGTCTGTATCGTGATTTACGCTGGTACGGATAGGCACGCCAGAGGTGAACGTGAGATCGTGAATAATTCTGAAGTTCGGTTTGTCGATGATGCCCAACGGCGACACTCTAACACCTAAGATTTCTCGAATAAACCGAACATCGAAAACCAACGCACGCCCCAAGATCACGTCCGATACCACTTTGTCTGTGATCCGATCTCTGTGCAGTAACGCGCTAGGATGGTTGCCGTACGCCACTTCAGCGTCCAGGTTCCCACCTAAGCCCACGTCAACCGGCGCACCCGGAGACAACGATCTCAGAAGTTGACTTACTCGGGGAAACTTTTTCGCGTCACCAAAATGCGCCTTGACACGCATCACATCGACATGGGGCAGAAAGAACTTCTGGCCAACAGCGGCGACGAACCTTTCCACGCGTCCCCCACACCGTCGAAGCAAGTTTGAACCCACATGCGCCACATGGTTAAGATGGACGTACCGTTCTGCAGCTTCACACGCAGCCAACGCAGATACGGCCACCCGCCACTCTTCAACCTCACGCGGCGAAACCTGTTCAAAACTTTGCCTCGTACCTGACTCCAAGTCGGAAGCCACTCCGGGCAAGCCCTCCCAGCGCTCGCCTCGGATCCCCACGCCAGCCAAGGCCCGGGACGCCATCTCCCTATGACCTGGCTGCTGTTGCGGCCTCTCAGCTGGAACCGACACTGGAGTTGGCCCCGCCACCCGGCGGAGCCCGCACCCCTATTTGCTGCCACCCCGCACCGCCAAGGCCGACGACGAGCCACCACCGTCGCCACCGTCAGCCTGTCCTCCTCCCCGGGCGACGCCGCCCCCCTGACCACCAGCCGACGAGCGCCCCCCGCCACCGCGACTCCCGCCCCCCCCACTGCCACTTCCGGTGCTTGACGAATCTCGGCGCTTCACGTGCTCAAACCTGCATTTGTCGCCGAAAGAGCACGTGCCAGAGTCGCGGAACTGGAAGCACTCCCTTGTGACACGCTTCCGTGACGATGAATCACCCCGATCCAGTTGGCCCGCCTTACGCTTGCCGCTCCCGCCCCGCGACTCTCCTGTTCCGGGGAGGGATCCTCCGTCACTCAGGACCAGCCGGAATAGATTGACCCCCCGTTCACAGAAGTTATTGATGTTGGGGAACTCGGGCACCGGCGGCAAGGTGTGTCCGTCGAACGCGTCCGGCGGATAATGCATTTTCGTGAAGGGGTACATCCAGGTGATGATCGCCGTTGTCCACAATTTGAAGTCCTCGTTCGGCAACCTTGGCAGTGCCGCCCGCTGGTACTCGTCCGGAAACACATCACTATTCCGCACGAGAGTAGTCCGAAACCTGGAGCGTGCGTCCGCCATGGCTGTGGCTATGGGTTCCAACCGCCGCAGCGATTGCACACCCGCGGTCGTGGACGAATCTAGACCAAACTTCAACAGCCGCATCACCGCCTCACACATCACGTCGAAGTTGTCTGCAATAGACAACGTACGGGCAACCCCCACGGGCCGGAAGCTCTTGACGTCGAAAGACGAAAACGCACGCATCTGAGCGAGGACGTCGCCCGTGACGTGAACGATATCGCCCATCAATCCCTGCAGGTCCTCCTTCTGTGGCCCGGGCTCCGGCCCCCGCTGCCCCCGAAGTACCCAGAGTGTCTGATTATATTTGGCCTGCCAAATGGTGGCCTCCCTCCTCGCCTCCTCTTTGGCGTTGGACCTCGCGGGCACACTCGCCCCCCCGCCCGCGCCCCCGCCCCACGGCGACGACGCCGGCACCAGACCGAGGCCTCCCGAGCCCCCGGGCCCACGACTCCCATCCTGCCCCGACTCCGGCCGGAAGTTCTTCAGCAACCCAGCGATCTCGGTAAGCTGCGCCACCATG